AAAATTAATTGGAGTATGAGACAATTACAATAACTAATAATCTGCATTGAAGTAATAAAATACCGATTTTTCTATATATTGAATTATTTTTTATCTCTCACAGGACCTTCTATGGGCCAAAACGAATGTTGCCCCCTAAAATTATTCCTCATAAGGCATACATCCCACTAGCTTATTTCAAAATTAGCGAGTCACACTTCTCTAGTTTCCCTTGTAAGATATAACTGCTTTTATATTATATAATATATTTGTTTTTTCATCTTGGTAAAATAAATACAGCTAAGCCTGGCTTCTGTAAAAAAGTACAGTCTACTTAGCAGAAATTATTAAATATCCTCCTCTTACCTCGCAGATCTGGTTTCGGTGAGAAATCGCGATTAAGATGAATGGTTAAGAAGCTTAAATATCGTTATTTAGAAAAATAAGTTTTATGATGCATTCTTTTATTCTAAACCGAATCAGACCGAATTCAAGATGACATAACATAACTAGTCGTTTAAAAGTTGTTATAGTTTTATATGAAAAAATACTTTTACGTGTTGATTCACGCCTGTAACGTTGCTTTTTAGATTATTGACGTATGTATTTTTTAAGAATGTGATCAAGCAATAGTCATTATGATTAAGATTTCAAAAGTTGCTTGGGAATTTAAATGTATAAAATGTCTTTTTTATGACACAGTTACAGTTTTGACGTTTCTATATTGTAGTTATATAGAAGTATGAAGTATTTTTTCTTGTATATTTTTTCTTACGCTGAATCGAATGTGACACAAACTCGAGTTAAAATGACTAATATTACAGATGCTGAAGAAGAACTATACAACTAGTAAGAGTTTTATTTTTGACCTGTACTTCTTAATACTTTTGGTACTGCTATATTGCTGCTATCTGGAAAGGTGAGGTATTGTTTCTTGAGTACTTTTTAGCTGAATCGAATGCGTTCAAATTAATATCAATAAGACAAATGGTTTTGAAGAAAAATTTAAAAGTAAAACATTTTAATACGTGTATATAAAACCATTATTACTACTTAACTATTAGTCTAAACGTCTCGAACGTGGTTGATCGCATTAGATTGGTGTAAAGCTGTCAGTAACAATACCTCATTTGTCTAGATAGCAATATTTAAGCTACTTCTCTCTTTTACCTTCTTTTCCAATTATCGCGTCAGAACCCAACTTGCTAGGTCTCGCAATTTTTCCCCACTAACCAATAAAATAGTACTTAACAGCTTTTGGATCTCCCGTTTTCGTCAATTTCTTAAATCATCGATACTGTTACTTCTAAAAAGTCGACTTTTTGACGGTTTTCTAATACATTTTAAATAAATTAATTGATGGCACTAGTTCCGAAAACATGTATGAATTATCTTGTAAAAGTCACAATGCCAGAAACAACTGCTGTAAAATCATTTTGTAAACTCAGTTACACAATTTTTTCTAAATCAGCTTTACGATACTTGTAATGTTTTTTCAGTCAATGATGCTTATAAAAAATTTGTAATAACCCCAGATAGTTAGATTTACTTGCATTACTCGTTTTTTTTCTCCGCAAACTGATGTTGTTTTGTGGTACGTGTTTTTAATAACGCTAGGAGGCTCCGTCACATGTTCTCTTCACTTACAAACCCCCGTGGTTGCTTCTTATTCTTCATTGCAGATCAAGAGGGGAGAACAGTTTATGTCAGTTTTTTGACAAAAGTCAAGATAGGATTGCAATCTGTTGCATTTTGAGGATAACTTAATTGTTGGCAAATCAATAACATGGTAAATCGGTGCCACAACCTACTCGAGAGTTATTACTCAGTGAAAATGTAACGAAAAGTAAAAATAGTTGTAAAAAATTCGCAAAATAAAGCACCTAAAATATCAATAACTTTAGAGCAAACTGGAATTATTTAACAGAAAACTATGTGTTAAGTTCATACACAAACATGGCCTTTTCAGCATTTAAAAATTAAAACTCTGTACTAGTTAAATATTTGCGGATTGTAAACCTGATCTTACGGTATTTTTAATAACAAGTTTGATAATTATTAATTCTAGAACTAATTACCGAATGTTCATTTTTATACTACCGTATCTCCAGTACACTTTTCTATACACCTTAGTAATTTCAAGTTTCTAAGCCTTGTAGTTTTTGCGCAGTAAAGTAAAATGCTACTTTAAGGTGATCACTTAAAACAGCGGCGTTAGCGGTGCCTACAGATGTTTAATATAAAGAGTATACTAATGCTAATGATACTTAATACTAAAGATACTTAATACTAATTATACTTAATACGTAATACTAATGCTTAATACTAATTCGAAGAAAACATTTTATTATAAACTGTCTAAGGTATACATCGCAAAATATATTTTTGTGACTAAATACAAAAGTAAGTAGTCAAATTTTAAAATAGTACGACCTAAAATATTAAAACTAAAAAGAAAAAAAATAGAAAACTGTTAATATCCTCAGAATAGTTTGGTAAAAGCAGTTCGGTGCTTCTTGCTGATAAGAGTTACAGTTCATATCAATTAAAAATAGTCCTGCTTTATGCAACAGTATCACGCGTATTGAGTCACTAGTTTCAGTTCTAACCAATTTACAGTAGCCATACAACAAAATTAAACTTTGTATCAAAGTTCGTCATACAATAAGCTATGATAAAGTTGAACACCATTTTTTTTAATCTTAAAGAAAGAGAACATGATCTTGCACTAGTTTACTTCATTAATTATCCGAAAAGAAGACATACACCTCAGGAAAGAAATATACCACTTCCTGCTGCACTTTTGCTTTCGACAAGAAAATGGCTACCTATAGCTCTTTACCTTGGTATCTTTTAAAACTCATTCAAACCCAGAGTTAAGAAAACAAAGTAAGGATTTCCAAAGGCACAAAAGGCTGAAGGAATGAAAAGTGCTCGGAAGAAAGCTCATTGTCCCATTCTCCAATTAAGATAATGGGAATCTTTTATAAGATGGGAAAAGGCTTCCTTCACGGGTAGCGATCCTCTTGTATTCTGAAACAAACACTTTCACTTCCACTTTCTCCAACCACATGGCATACCTTAAGCCTTATTCCAAAAGTGCAGTTAGTATTCCATTATTAAAGCAATTCCAGAGAGGGTAGATGATAGTGGCAGGACACACTTTCATTTTCAAAGAATAAAGAAGAACAAGGCATAAATGCACACGCGCATGGTTTCAGATGCATTATACATTCGGTATGAATCTAAAGAAGAGATAAAAGAGAAATTCCAACTCCAGCTCGCAATGCAGAACGTTATAAATATTTATTAAATTTAGAAATGACAGAGAAGGTTAGGCCACGGGAAAGAGAGTATTTTAAGTTCAGATGCATGTCTTGGAACCTGGTTGAGGCTGAAGCGAGACGATATAAAATAAGGAAAGGTTGATTTCTTCGCTACGAAATGTCGTCGTTGCAATATGCAAACGAATAGTAGAGGATATCCCTACATGTCAAATGGATCCAGTGCGCATGACAATGAATGTATTAACTGAGGTGAGATATTCGACACTAGTGGTTCGACTATGGGAAAAAAAATCGATGGATTTGATGTTTGAATGTTTTTTTTATTTTTGTTTTCATTTCATGATGTCATAAAAAGAATTTCAAATATTTGACATCGTTCTGGGAAATCTTCCTGTTATTCAGTTTCGACGAATGAAAATGCAAGAACGGTTAATCGATAGGGTGCAATAAAATTCGGGAAGGGTGAAATTGTTTTTGCTCGTGAAATATAAATAAAGTTGTCGTGAAGTCCTCTTTTGATGTTAGGAGAGAGAAAAAAAATTACGTAGTATCAAGGAGTACTGAAAAAAAATAATATAAAATGCTAACGTTGAAATGAAATATTTTCTTTTTATATCGCTATTTTTAAATAAATGTAGACATATTCGATTTAATATCGAAATATGATTAGGTATTAAATGATTTTATCTCATCAGCATTCTGAAATCGATAGCTTATGAATAAAAATATTCCAAAATTTAAAATGTTTTGATTATAGAACACGAGAATTGAAAGGAATGGTGCAAGATTTATTAACTAAGGCGGAATAATTGATTTTAACAAACTTTTAAATATTGAAATGGTTTGGAGGAAAATTTTAAAAGGGTGGATGGATAGTGTGCATCGAACTGTTTCTTAGCATTTTTACCGGGTATGTACTCTATATGCTTCCGGAAATTTTACAAAAGAAAAAAAAAAAAAAAAAAA